TTTGCGCGGTCAAACTTCCCAATTCGGATAGTCGACACGTTCGATCACTACAATTCACATTGTCTGCGAACTACGGTGTTATTTGTCGAAAGCTTAAATAAATTTTTGAAATGATCAATTGCGACCCCGAAATTTGAAGAAAATCGAATTCGACGTGTTTTGACTCGATCGTCAATGAGGTTGTTCGAACGACAATGACGAAACGGATTGTGTCGGCGCGTCCGGAACGTTAAGTTTAGCTAGGAGGGGTGCTCATTTTGTTAGGGCGCTGCGCACAAATAAATTGCACAAAATTTGATATTTTTTAAATAAAAAAGGAAAAATTCTTATTTTAAAATACCTTAAATTCCTAAACCTAAACTCACGCACCCGATCCCTGTTCTTCTCGCTCAGTCCAGCCACACCCTCGCCTCTCTTTCCAGTCGCAAGCGAGCCCTAGCCGAGCGCTCCTCTCCTTTGTCATGACGGTTCTACCCGAGGTCCCCTCCCTGTGCTCTGGTAAAGCTTCCACCTACCCTCGCCACTGTTTTGTAGCCCTGTCTCTCCCAGAACTCTGTGATGCTTGTCGTTTCTCACACGTCTCTATTGGCTCGGCTCACTGTCCATGTAGGTGAAGGTAAGACTTCTCCTCCCCCTTTGTCTTTAAATACCCCTCTTGAGGGAAGGTTTAAAGTTTGGCCGAAATTTGGTGTGAAGGGAAGCACTGCTGAAATTTTTCCTAGGTTTGTTCTTGAGTTTTCTTAGGATCTGTATCAAGAGGTGACCCTCTTCCTCCTTTCTTCAAGAATTTGCAGGAATTATCTGTTTTATTCTACTTTCATGCCTTGATTATAATGTGTTATTTCTGATTTGCAATTTCTATATCACCGCTTGCTTTTAAGGTATGCAATGCATCTCCTGTACTTTGGGTTTGATTTGTTGCTTGATTCATAGCTTGATTTAGGTTTATGATCAGATTTGGATGTTTTTTTTTTTTTGCAAACTGCAGCACGTCTTCAAACTTTTGCATTCCCACCATGTTTAAACCTACAGATGTCGGAGAAATAAACCTTAAATCTACCTTGCTCTACACTATTTGAGTTTTACGGGAAGTTCGTTCCTCTTATTCTCAGATGCCAAGAATTCTAAGCAGTCTTTATCATTTGTGATTCATAATATATAAAGATTTGTTTAGGCGATTTTGCTCTGATGATTTCTTGCCTAATGATATAAGTAATCTTTCTATTCTGCGTCACTTGAAATTGCCCCTGAATGCATCTTCAAGTGCACCTAGAATTGGGAAATTAAGGTCACTTTAAGAAATAATTGAGTTAAGAATGAGAATGGTTACAAAATTGGTGAGTTGGAACATATGAGCGAGTTGCGCAAATTAAAAATACTTTTTTTTGGAAAATGTTAAAGATGCTAGAGAGGCTCGCACTATGAAATTATTTGAGAAGAGAAAACTCAGATTTTTTCTTGAATTGGGGCAAAACTGTTGATGAATGGGAATCATACAAGGGAGTTGAAAGCCTACGGAGCATTGAGAATTTTGACTTAGAGGTGAATGTGCTTGAAAATCTTAAACCATACAGAAATCTAAAGAGTTTGTCCATAGTTTCATACAATGGTGTAAGCTGTGCAAAGTGGATGTACAATGCAAATTTGATCTCCAATCTGGAGCTCATTCGTCTAAACGGTGCCCGGTGTGGGAAACTCTTCCACCTTTGGGGCAGCTTCCCCACCTAAAGTCTCTCGTAACATGCCAAAAAGCAAAGTATTTGCTTTGTGTATTTGCTGATCTTGGAGACATATAAATGTCCTTTTTTGTCATTTGTATTTGCTACATAAAAATGTTATTTTTTAGGTTGTTTAAATGTCGATTTTGGAACCGTTTAAATGTGGTTTTCCGAACTATCTTGGCCCCACATACATATTATTTTGAGTCGATCAAGTGCTATCTTGGGTTAATTGAAAATTGGGTTGGAGATGGTGCTTTAAACACTCTTTTGGTGGTTGCTTTTAAATACGAAATTGGTGACTTTTGGGCAGCATCTATTGGGTTCATTGGGTAACTTTTTGATGCTTTAATGCATTGGTTTGGCCACTTTTAAGTGCTGATTTTTTAAAGCTTTTAAGCGTCTTTTGGGACTGATTTGATCATTGTTTTGAAAGAATTTATTCGTCTTTAGGCCGATTCACTTGCGGCTTTGCCCCTTTGCTTTGTTGATTTCTTTTTTAGAAGTTGGTCGGCCTCCTCCGTTGATTTGTTTTTATTAGAATGATCAAGTTAAAAGTCAAAAGTCAAAAATGAGAATTTCTTATTTAATTATTTAGAAAACACTTAAAAGATATTTAAGGATTAGTTGGAAAACACTCAATTGAGGATAAAACACTTTAAATCACTTCAAGCACATGTTAAAATGTAGGTTTCCTAAATTTTATGAGCACACCCTAAATGAGAGTTCCTCTACCAAATTTTTAAATGAATAATGAAACCAGATATTTGACTTCAATTCATAAGTCAGTTAAAATGATAGACATAAGGATACACCAAGATGTGGTTCATAACTTCCTTTTAAATAAATCAAGTAGTGAAATTCTCATCATGACTTAACCTACCGTGAAATCTAATGCTCCGGAATTTGATCTTGAGCCTTACACTAAAATACTCCTTACAATTGAGGACATTCCTAATGTCACATATAAATCACATACTTTTGGTCCCTTATACGTGACATCTTGTTTTGTTTTACTCGTTCGTGATTTTTTTTCTTTCATTATTAAGATTTTTTTATACTAGATTTTCTAGTAATTTGTTTAAGTTTCTTGTAATTTGTTGTTTTTTTATTGCATTATTTAATTTAATGCACTTGCTAAACTCCTTCGGTGGAGAACAGCAAAATATATGTTAGGAGGTACACCGGGCCCTTGAGACCCGACGGTAATTATACTTGCAAATACAAAACATAAACTAAATTTGGAATCGCTACAGTTTAGAGCTTAGAACAAGTCTTCGTGGGCAGCACGACGGAGAAGCAACAGGTGGAGGATAACGATCTACAATAGCAAACTTTTTCTTAGAATTAAATAACAAGATATAGGACTTTGAGGTGGTTCGTCTAGCGCGACATAAATCCTCACATTATCGTTTAGGCCTTTGCACAACCAGGATATGCAATCTGAGCTCTAACTCACTTTAGGTTCCGAGGTTGTCGTCAGATATGACGTACACCCTCATATCTTTCAGATCATTTGTATGACCGTGTCATGCAAATATAAGTTCTAAATAATAAAATTGGCAGGATGAAATATCAAATAACATCTTCTCGAAATTGAAACCAAACAATAGGATAGTTTGGGAAGTCACTGAGTTTATCCTCAGGATCCGTGATATCCCCTACTTTTCTTTCCTTTGAGTTCAGAAATAAATGTTTTTATTTGGTCATTTTCTCACTTGATTTTTCTATGTTCAACCTTAAAAACCCTAAACTTTGAATTCATGAAGATAGATACCTCTGATCATCATCGAGAATTCGCTTAAATGACTGAAGTCATTTGAGAGGTAATTAACTATAGAGGTTTGTCTCTATAGAGAGTTTTAAGAACCCAAGAAATATAAACCATATCTAGTTCTTAATATTGGGTAGGGGAACTTGTCGGTCAACATAAAGGTTCGCAGACTAAAACGGATGTCATAAATTCTCTAGTTTATTTGATCGAGTCTCACGGATAAGTGATATGTCTATTTCTCGGTATGGATATGTCACTTGTAGTGTTGTGCTCGTTAAATATGTTATCGTCTTCGATCTCGTATTTTTTAAAATTAAACAATTACATTTCAAAACTATATATATATATATATATATGTGACCAAACTTCTCTTCATATAACTTTACCAACAAATACACCAAACAAGTGATATTTAGATCAAATTATTCCAAATATTTGTGAATTGAGAAATATTAATGTGATTGTGGGCGATGAGGATCAATTGTCATGTTGTTTACCTTGATCATATGAATATTTTTGTAAAACTATGTTGTATTGAAAGATGTAATGAGCTTTAATTAAACAAAGGCACAAGATCGAGAAAACATAAGTATTGTAGACAGAGTCTTGGATTACGATCGAGAAATTGAGGAAAATGAGAATAGAGTACCAAGGGGCAATACACTCAAAATTTCCTTCTTGTGAATCTAACTTCAATGCATCAATCCATATGTATTTGGTAATTATATTTAACCGATTCTCTCAAGAGTTTTCTGTACAACACATGTTTTAGATCTCTTGTAATTTTCCACGAGCCTCTCAATGATTATTCCATCACCATGTCTCAATCCAACAAACACAATTCTCTATTATTATTTCTCAAACACTTTTCTTGAGATTATAATGTGACTTTCCGTAATACTTTCTATTTTTTAGTGAACAAATAATGGGAATGAAAATGCTTACACATACACACATGAGTTATACTATTATTCATTTAGAATAAGAGCGCTTAACCTTGCACATTTGTATGATTTATCTCTCTTTGAATGGTTGTGGTTAAAAATAAATTATTTTCTGTTTTAAGTCTCCAATATTGTATTACAAAAGATGAAATTCACTTAAAGTGCCCCCCCCCCCCCTCCACCTTTCTTTTCACTTGTGTGTGTGAAGGATAAATGGTCATAATCTTTAAATTTCTCTTCTATGTCTTTGTGCGGAAAGATGAATGTTATGAAAGAAAAATGAGCTTCATCTTTCTAAAAAAAATAATGGTAAAAATAGTGTTGTGCTCTATATAGGCAAGATTAAACTGGCTCGTCTCTAGCTACTTGTTTTCTGTATGTTTTAAATTTTTTTAGTCTATCTGTATCTTCTTATTGGTTTATTACTGTACTTGGTATCGTATGGATAGGGTGCCTCTATTGATCCCTCTCATACAAATTTTATGTATCTTTTCTATTTCAATAAAATCAGCCCTTGAGCTTTTTAGAATATATATTTCAAGCAAATCATTGTGCTTAACATACCCAACCAAATGAAAAAGGAAGGTTGTTCCCAGTTCCCAAAGGAACAGTAGCAATCGGAGGTGAGCGAGTTAGTTTCAGATCGCTAACCACTCCAAGCAACCAACCTGCTGTGCCATCACCGCCAGCAACCTAACCAGAGCATGACAAGTCAGCAGCACCATTTACAGCTTAAGGGTAAATATCAAATGAAAACCATGCTATTAAAGACGTGACTTTTTTCAGCATTTACTCACAATGAGTCTCAGCTTATTTTCAATTTCAGAGGCAAGTATATCCCCATTAGATTTGAGCCTTTCAAGGTTGGCATAGAGCCTATACAAAACTTTATCAGGAGCCTCCTGCCCCAAATCAATAACCTAGATTTTTCATCAATAAAAAAATGTCAGACTGTACACAGATCAAATTAAGGGAGCACAAGACATTTGCACTTGATCAAATTATCACAACAGAAAAATAGCTATCAGAGAAACTCTTTATTCTAAGAAAATCATACCTGTTCTTCACTAAGAAGCTGACGATATGTTTGAAGTAATTCACCGCCAAGCTGGCCACCACTTTTGGAATTTATAAACACTATAACTGGAGTACTAGGCGGACGTGGAGGCACCTCATCCTTTGAATCGGGTACAAGAATGTATTTAGGTACATAGAACTCCTTTAACACTTGTTCATCCATTTGTGCCTCCAACCTGCTCATGTACAGTAAGAGAATATGCTAATAATCTGCGAAAATTAAAATCTTAGGCTGCTTCTACCAACTGGCTAATTAAAATGATTACAAAGCTTAAACCAAGAATAATTTGTGCAAAAAATAAATAGTTGTCACGATAAGGATAGACAACGACACAAAGTAGGGTACTAACATGCAAAGTGTCCTACTTAATAGTTAACAACCACGAATCACAAGCACTTCAAAAAAGTCCTTCAAAGTCCATGTCTGATACGAGCATACATCAAAAACTTCCCGATATTAGTAATATTGACATTAAGTGTTTCACCCGGCTAATAATAAATAACTGAAATATATAATTGTAACTAAACTACATTAATTTTTATTTAGTTGATCATGATACATTTGATGTAATGCATATGAATTTATATTTCTTTATATAATGTATTTTGATATAAAATATTGACATTAAATGTTTTAATCACACAATTTATATTAATAATGCATAAAAGAAATATCATAGCCATGACAAGTCTTATCCTACTTTTAGGTTTATGTGTTCCTCATGTCATGTGTCGGTATTTGTAATTTATAGCTCAATAACAAGGCATGCCTCAAATAATGATAAATGTCACTTGCTCCAGAATAAATGTATAAATAAATCCGATAATTTGCAATGACTTCAAGCCCAAAGAAAAGACATTACTAGACAACCACAAAGAATGAAACATAGTAATTGATGAGCGTGTCTGCAATAAATGGTAAAACAAAGATTTATAGTACTAAACCAGAAAGGACTGAAGAATTTCTAGCAAAACAAACAACTTATAGAAGCAAGAACAATCCACTCAAGTGAAAGATAACAACTAATTGCATACCAATTCTTGCAAAAGAGTCTAGTGTCACGGCTATCCACTAGTTGATTGATGGGATTGCAAATTTCCCTCTGATCAAGCACAATTTTAGTGCAAAATACACATCTCAAAGCACTCAAAATTAGGTCAATTTTTTCTAGAAAAAAATTGAAGATTAAGTGAACTCTAATTCCAACAAATTTATGGATAAAACAACCATCTGATCTTGTAAGGAAAAAATACTATCTCGTCTTGAAAATTCCAACGACGCCATGAACATCAAAATTAATGTGCATTCAGGTTTTGAACTACCCAAACTGAGCAAAAGTATACTAGCTTGCACACATTCAGGACGACATTAGCCCTCTTCTCATTCCTCAGGTCAATCTTCACGTGCCACCTAACATCGTCTCAATTACAATGCCTCAACTCAGATTTTGCATGGTCTGCTTGCCTAAATTTAAGCTTTGTGGTGTGTATGCGACTTTTCAAGAATATAGATTTGCAAGATACTTATGGAAGAGGATTGATGTCCATAAAAAAAAGGCAACTTAAAATCATTAAATTTAGTGACCCAATATTTGATTTAAATAAAATTCCAAAAATACTGTGACTCCCTTATGCCTCTCGTTCTTGAATCGCTTGCAACTTTGTATTGCTCTCGAAGAAAAGAACAAGTTGATACAAAAATCACATTCCAATGTTGTTATTTTCCCTATACTTGATCAAAACAACATCTCAATATTACAGCAATAAGCCTTTACCCCACTAAGTGGGGCTCAACATCTCAACATTAATCCGAACAAGTCTACTCTAAAAATTCTAATCCATTAACTCCATTGAATTTGTGGTGTCGAGGACTTAACAATTGTTCATTTATATTGCCAGTTACAGAGTGCTAGAGATGGCCAACAGCATTGCTTGTCCTTGGCCAATCACCCAAGGAAATGGAGAGGTGTGATCATTTGTTCACATTTAAGGAAGATATCTATTTTAACCATATAATTAGGATTTTAATTTGGAAATTTTCAACAAAAACTGTCAAAAAGCCTTTCCCATAATCTATAAATAAATTTACTTTTACACATGCATGACAGATTTTAATGAGGACAGTCCATGTATTGTAGCGGATCCGAATAAAGCTAGGAGGACCAATTGATCGTTTCAACTTTTTCGCTAGCCCTATTTTCCTTTTAACCTTCCCAATTTCTCATTGCCTCATCTTCCAAGGGAACAACCACACTAACCGCCCTCAAATGCCTGACAATTCCTAGATGCTTCGGTCCCCCCTTTTAGGAAAATGACACACCAGCAACCCTCAGTCATTCAACAGCCAATGTTTGAAGCCACTCACCCTTGACACCTTTTGTCAATCTCAACGCCTCCAAACTCTTTCTACAACCACATGAGATTTTTTTATCCAAGTCTTGTTGCATTGTACTCAAAACCTCAAATTTGAGGAGAAGTCACCCTTTAATCTTTAATAATGCTAATAAAAATGTTTTAACTAGGCTAGATCCAACCGTTTTTCCACTTCTCGCTTTCCACATAAAAAAAAAACTTGCCTGCTGTGTTGAATTCAATTATTTTAATTATGTGTGGAATCTTTATTCAAAGAAGACCATAACTCCTTTTCTCTCTATCATAATGTTCTTGCTCACAACAATTCGACTTCGCCGGTGAAAAACATTCCAGCTTTTAGAACATCAACACCTTTCACAGTAGCGAACAAGTGCAACAGCATCAACAGCAAATCTTCTCACTCCAACTCTAAGCACTTAACTCATCTTTAATCCAGGACATTACAATTAAGCCCTTGCACTTTCCCCTGCATATTAAGAAATTCTAGAGGAAAGGTTTTTAAAAATGATGTCAAACACATGGAGGTATCTTGGGATTAGATCCTTTACGTTCTGCATGAATCCTGCTAGTCGGGACCATCACTCTAAATCCTAGTTGTCCTGTCTCTTAGTCTACCGCAGTCCGCATACCACCAATTCTCAACTACAAAATACCAGTACAGCAGCCTATAACCATCAAGCCCATGTCCTGCTCGATGACCTATGTGACATCTTAAGCTCAATGCATCCAACCTATACAACACTTGCGGCAGTACAACATTTCCAGATGCATGTTTTTCAAGGAGTCTCAGGGCATGGATTTAGAATATGAGTATTAGTATTTTACATGCATTAACTGGGAGATGTTAATATTGGTGTGTGAATGCGATGATGGCAGGGAGTGTGGATCCGCTAGATACAAGCAAGCAAACAAGAGCAAAGAACTCAACATATTTACCACCGACCCAAACTTCATATGAAAAGATTATATTATGAAATTTCCCACTGCCCAACAAACTCTAACATCATCAACATCACATTAGCAAGGTTGCGATTATACCAGATCTGAAATCAGTGGAAGCAATGCAAACATGCAAAACAATAATTCAACTCACGATCGAGAAGCAGAATCGTATATGCCAAAACATCCAGTGGGCTCTTCCACATCATGGCTATTCGAACAGCAGCATTTAGTACACTCCGACAAACGCTTAAATAGGCGACGAAGAGAATCAGCCTCTTTACTCGCCATGACTCATCCAAAACACCAAAAAAACAAAAAACAAAAAATAGAAAAACAATAGCCTACTCTACACAGATTCGCATCGATGATAGCTCCACCAAGATTCTAGGTTCAAAACAAGTTTAATGAATCAAGCTGCAGCGGACAATCGAGAAGAGAAACCCTAAGATCACAAAAGTTATGGTGGAGCTTGAAAACTCGCCTGAAAAGATGCGAAGAGAATTCAGACACCTCCACGCGATTCCTTTCTCTTCTAGAATCAAGAAAGGAAGAAAAGATTCGGGCTTCAGGGTTAATATGTGTTCACCGGGAAATGTGATTATAAATATGCGACTCGCTGGCACCATTGTCCCGCGATTGCACGGCTTCTGTTCCGTCCTAATTGAACGGCGTAGATGAACTTCGTCGCATGCGGTGTCGGCGTTCATTCAGCTTTGGTGGGCGTCTCCCTCTAAAATCATTCCCGATTTTTTTTATTAAAATATTGCTTAAAATTAATTTTAATATTAAAATATTATGTAAAATTTATTGGCTTGAGACAAATATTTTTTGTTTAGTTGGATTAAGATCAGGTTGGCCTGATTCAAGTCAAGTCATTTTTTAGTTCTGGTTCACCAAATCAAATTAATATCTTTATGTGTCAAAAAAATTGACACGAAACACTCACAGAACTTGAACTCAACTCGAAAAATTTAAGTTTAGGTTGACCTGAATATTTTTTTATTTGAGTCCGGGTCAAATAAGTCAACCCAATTCAGATCAGGTTGACCCGATTCTTGTCGAGTCATTTTTGAACCCAACTCGAACCCAAAGCTTTGACCCCAATGGTCACATCAATTCCATCCCAAAAAAACTACGAAAAAACAGTTTGCTTTGATTTTTCAAATCCAAAAGCAATAAGAAAGCTAGTTCAATATAATTCTTTATTTTATTATTTTTTATAGGATTTCGTATGGGATTTGAAATTTATTAGCTGCAGGATAGAATAAGTGTCTACTTCATACGATTTAAATAATGATAATTATAATAATAGTAATATGAATATTTGCTAAAGTGCAATTTTTTTAAAATTTAGCTCTTTGAAAAATTGCACAAGCATTAAATTTTGAAATGTTTAAAATAATGATATTAAACTTAAAATAAAGGTTGTAATCGAGTCGATTATATCATAGTTTAGATTTGATTGTAAAATTATAAATTGTTCATGCTCGGCTTAAGCTTGTGTCGAGCTTTTACATATTGTTCAAGCTTGGCTTGTTTAATTTCTGTTATGTTTGAACTTGTTTTGTTTATAACAAGTGAACGAGTATTTAAACAAGCTAATAAACGTGCTAAAAATTCGAACGAGTATCTAGATCTTCATATAAAAATATGATAAATGACTGTATAAATCTAAATAAATATAAACAAATGAACAAACAAAAATGTTGTCATCTAGTGTCTATAATAGATATATTCTCAGAGTAATAAATTCTAAAATAAAGAAAAAATTGTGAAGCAATTGTCAAAAAAAAAAAAACTAAATAAACTAGGATTACAAAATAACTCATAATGTGAAATCATTTATCAATTGTATAAATAATTAAGAAAAATCAAGGGCAGTTACATCAAGCATATTAAAAGAGAATGAGCAAAAATTGATGTTCACTTATAGAATTCCATAATGTTAATGTTTAAATAGTTAATAATTAATAATAAAATAAATATAAATCAATAGTTAATCTAAAAATAGTATTGGTACAATAATATATCACTATTAAATTTATACTTAAATAATTTCTAACTAATCAAATTTTATTTAAATAATGTATGATACGAGTTATATATCTGTATAATGTCGAGTATTTAACAAGTTACTTGTAAAAACGTTTGATTTTTGTTAACATAAATGAACAAGTTCAACTATGCTAACAATTAACTCATTTAGAGTTACCATTTTAAAAAAAATATTCAAACTTGTTTATTTACTAATTTGAACGAACTTGATCGGCGTTTAATCGAGCCGAGTTCGAGTTGTTCATCAATTGCATTGGTTCATTTACAACCTATTTAAAATTGTATCTTTTTAGTTTATAGTATATTAAAAAATATGAATAAATAAATTTATTACTAAATAATTACAATCATGACCATATTAACAAAATATGGCACATTTTTTTTTAATCGCAATTAATAAATTTTATTATATAATTTAATATTTCTAAATAGAAAAAAATTCCTTACTAATAATTAAAAATTCCATAAAATTCTTAATAACTTAACACGTTGGGATTGAAATTTGTGTAAAGAGTGGAAAATAATATACAAAATCCTGAAATTTAAAAAGCTATTAAATTCTTAGAATTTAATTTAAAAATGAGAAAATGGCAAACTTTAGAAATAAAAAATAATTATTAAAATCAAACAATTGAGGACTTAAAAAATGGAGAAATTAAATAACAAAGTCATTATGTAGATAGTTGGATGTATAAAGAGACTCACAAACTGCCTTTATAATTATATTGCAGATAGAAAAATATTTAGTTATTTTAATAAAAAACTTCAAGGGATAATTACATACATAACACTGTGTTGCTATTTAGAAAACTAGTACCCCTTCATTTTATTGAACAGTCAAACTAATACATTTATACATGTCACAATAAAACTATCAAAAATTTGTGTTAGATATATAAATTCAGAAGATATATATATATATATATATATAAGAATACCATTTTATCTACAAGAATGTCAAATTTTATTGATTTGAATACCATTTTATCTAAAAGTGTAAGTGAGTCAAGCCGAATCTAGCTTGATTAGTTAACGTGTTAGCGAGTCAAGCTTAAGGAGACATGAGCTCGAGCTTGTTGAGACAAGACTCGACTAGTCGGCTTCCAATTACTTTGATACTTTCTCTTGTGAGATGTTGTGATACTTTCTCTTCTCTGAAACTATCAACCATTTAAATAGCTTTTTTGATAAGCTTTTATTGTTAGGAGTGTAAACGAGTCGAACTTCAGTGTGCTTAGTTGGAACTAAATAGGCTTGATTTGTCTTCAACAAATTTCCTTCATTTGGAACAAATCTTGAAGCATGTAATGAATCTCTATGTATTTTTTGAGTGAGAAACCTTCAAACTTGAATTAAAATTTATATAAAGCTTCGAATTTAACAAATTTACAGTTAATATGACATGCTCAACAACATTAAGATTGCCCCATCCTATTCAAATCAAGGCCGAATCAAGCCATTAAGACGCCTCTAGATGCTTTGGGTGGCAAATTGAAATGTCAAACAGATTTCAAGTATGACAAGCTTACATTCAAATCAAGTTTCACGATAAGAAAAATTCAAAGAGCCCGAGATAACTCAAATTTTGACGTTTTAAGGTGCTTCAATGTCCACAAAATGTTATATGATTGAAAGAATCTATTTAGACCATCCGATGAGTGGTCTAGATTCTTTCCTTATCTGCAGAGAAAATGCATTCATACTCTATAAATAGAGCACTCCATTTATGAAAAATGATCTAGACATTGAATCAAACAGAGGGAATAATGGGCCAAATTATAGTGTTGTTTTAGACTGAAGACCAGACGAAAGCTTTCCGCTTCCATAGTCGTCGACAACCATCGATCACCACTTACCGACAGCTATTAACCACCTCAATCGCCCCATGTTCATTGTAATGAAACCCCGCACAGAGTCACGACATATGATGCAGGGTAATGAAGCACCATGTAGAATCATGTCATATGTTGCATAGTAATAAAACACCATGCATATTAACAACCTACATCACGAAACAAAAAAGCACTCTAAAGAGCAGTACACCGTCTAGAACGTCTTGTAATGGCAGTTTACCAAACTTCTCACAACTACTCTCAATTGCTATCACTTCTAACCATTGTACAACAAATTCTTTTATATATAAACATTATACTTCGATGGACTGTGTAACTATTTGTCATCTGTGGAACAAGGGCTAATACGTGTACTCATCAACTTATAAAAGATCTTTCTCACTGGGCTAGACAATGTGGCTTTTTCTCTTTTCAGATTTCCATGTAAACATCTTTGATGTATTTGACTGTCGCTTCTATTATTTGTGCGTTTGTGCTAGATTTCGTACTACGCTGAGATACTAGCACTACATAAATTTTGTTTATTACCGATGGTCAAATACCGTCGCTAATAATTTTAAAATTTTTGTTAAATAAATTATCGATAGTTATGCTACGGTTTATCTGACGTAGCAAAAAAGCTTGTCAATAATAAAATTACTTACACATTTAACAACGGTTCTTTTAACACCAACGATTATCTGACTGATTTTAACCATCGTTGTTGGTTTAAAACCATAACATGTTTAACCGTCGGTTCCTGTCGAGAATATAACCGACATCTATTTTCGACAGAAAAGTGTTCACTTCAACCAGAAAAGTGACGCGCTTCCGCCGAAAAATGTTTCATAACTGTCGTTTAACCATATATAATTACTGATAGTTTTATTCGTTGAAAAAGTGCAATACCTTATGAAAATGTCGCTTGTCCGATAGTCTTTCACAAAACCTTCATAACTTTATCAGACAATCATAAAACTATCAGAAAACTGTCGAATACCTGTTGCATCAAAGAAAAATTAAACTCCTTCAACACCATAATTTACTCATCTCCAATCGTAACAATACAATTTCCATACATCACAACACAACACAGTAAATAATTAATGCATAAACAATTTAAAAAAAATAAAAGAAAAACAATTGCATTAAATGAAACAAAATGTACAACTATCCAATAATAATATTGTTCGGGACCAATAAATTGTTTAATATATACAAATATACAAAATATAACCCCTACTCATCCTGATTGATTCTCTCCTCATCATCATCATCCTCAACGTCGTCCTGACCTAGTTGCGTCCCTCTTTGCCATTCAAAACGCAGCATCGCTTCGATCTCTAATTTCATCTTCCGCTTCATCTCAAATATTGGGGTGACTAGTTGGGTGGAGACCTGAGCAACAACCTAGCTATAAATCTCTTCCTTTTGTGCAATGGAAGTAGATGCACCAGTTGTGCTAGAGGTCGGGCATGCATCGTAAGCCGACGCTTGAGACTTCAGCGCGTACACTTTGCCCTTCTTCTTGCCTTTGAAAACCTCTCTCTATAGATCGTATTCAGAAAGATCGTGAGATATTGCAGCCGTAGACCCTGCACTTCTTCTTTCTACCTCTTTTTTTCTTAGGTTTTAATCTCGGAGAGGTACAAAATCTGCACTGAGTCTCTACTTCATTGGACTTATAAAATAATATACATTCATCCCGCAATAATCAATTTTCTCTATTTTCAACTCTAACATGGAGACAATTTTTTTCGTGCGGTATAAGTCTTCTAGAACTAAATTTTCCT